GTGATTGCGCCACTGCACTCCAGCCTGGGTGACAGAGTGAGACCCTCTCTCTCTCTCAAAAAAAGAAAAATCTACTTTATACAAAAGTTTCCATGACGGCATTGCCCACATTTGGAAGGAACACTTAACCTTCCGTTTATTGCATTTATATGGAGACTTGTCTCTGAAGATGGGTTTTGGAGTTTATCTTAATTTGGGTATTTTTTTTTTCTTTTTTTGAGGTAGGGTCTCCCTCTGTCACCCAGGCTGGAGTGCAATGGCATAGTCTCAGCTCACTGCAACTTAACGCCTCCTGGGTTCAAGCAATTCTCCCTGCCTTAGCCTCCTGAATAGCTGGGATTATAGGCGCCCCCACCACCTTGCCTGGCTAATTTTTGTACTTTTTTTTTTTTTTTTTTTGAGACAGAGTCTCATTGTCTCGCCAGGCTAGAGTGCGTTGGCGCAGTCTCGGCTAACTGCAACCTCCGACTCCCTGTTTCAAGCAATTCTCCTGTCTCAGCCTCCTGAGTAGCTGGGATTACAGGCACACACCAACATGCCCAGCTAATTTTTGTATTTTTAGTAGAGATGGGGTTTTACCATGTTGGCCAGGATGGTCTCGAGCTCCTGACCTCATGATCTGCCCACCTCGGCCTCCCAGAGTGCTGGGATTACAGGAGTGAGCCACTGTGCCCAGCCAAATTTTTGTACTTTTAGTAGAGATGGGGTTTCACCATGTTGGCCAGGCTGGTCTTGACCTCCTGACTTCAAGTGATCCACCTGCCTCAGCCTCTGAAATTGCTGGAATTATAGGTGTCAGCCACTATGCCAGGCCACATTTGGGGATTTTTGGAGGATGTGTTCATTCATGTGACAAATCTAGGTGCCTTATACGTACCCAGCCTTTTGTAGGTATGGATGGCTTGGCAGCAGACAACACAGGAAAACCCCATCCTGTGGATCCTTAAATGCTCTGGGGGGAAAACATGATTCTAAAAAAAGTGAAATGTAATAGCCTTTCAAATGGTGACAGATGCTACAGAGAAAATTTCAGCGTGGGTAAAGGCAGAGGGTGATCCCCATGGGAGAGTCAGTGTGCAAAATGGAAACTCACCAACATTTCTTCAACAGAGCTGTTCTGGAGAAAGCCTGGGGCAGGCATGGTTGGCTGTGCGCTAACCTTTCTATCGTGGAGGCGTGGGGAGGGGAGAGGCATTCTCAGCTGTTTTTCATAGAAACACAGGAAGGTGAGGAGCAACCGTGGAAACTGAATGAGGAACAAAGGGCGTTCGGATTTAAAGATACCAGGATTACAAGTTCAGAGTCTAGGGTGCTCACCAGACAGCAGGTACTATTTAAAATTAGCGTTGAATTCCTGGCACCAGAATTCTAGTCCTTTACTATTTTGTGGCTCCCAAATAGTGAAAGTTCATGAAGGAAGCATTAAGCCTATCTACTTAAAGTCCTTTGTATCCGTTTCTCTCTCTTTATAGATGTACAGTAGTCTCCCTCATCCGAGGAGGCGGGGGCACTACCATCATCCAAGACCCTCAGTGGCTGCTTAAAGCCATGGATAGTACTGAACCCTAGTGGCTTTTTTCTCTACTTACACATATCTTTTTTTGTTTGTTTTGTTTTTGAGACATAGTCTCGCTCTGTCGCCCAGGCTAGAGTGCAATGGCGTGATCTCAGCTCACTGCAATTTCTGCTTCGCAGGTTCAAGCAATTCTCCTGTTTCAGCCTCCCAAGGAGCTGGGCTCACAGGTGCCTGTCACCACACACGGGTAATTTTTGTATTTTTAGGAGAGATGGGGTTTCACCACGTTGGCCAGGCTGGTTTCGAACTGCTGACCTTAGGTGATCCACCTGCCTCGGCCTCCCAAACTGCTGAGATTATAGGCACGAGCCACCGTGCCTGGCCCTACTTACACATATCTATGGTAAAGTTTAATTTATAAATTGAGCACAGTAAGAGAATAACCATGATAATAATAGAATAATTACAACAATATACTCTTTACTGTATTTCACGGATAGAAGTTTCACTTTTTTTTTTTTTTTTTGTGAGACAGAGTCTTGCTCTGTTTCTAGGTCAAGGCTGGAGTGCAGTGGCGCAATCTCAGCTCACTGCAACCTCTGCCTCCTGGGTTCAAGCAATTCTCCTGCCTTAGCCTCCAGAGTCGCTGGGACTACAGGCATGTGCCACCATACCCAGCTAATTTGTATTTTTAGTAGCGACAGGGTTTCGCCATGTTGGCCAGGATGGTCTCAATCTCTTGACCTCATGATCTGCCCGCCTCGGCCTCCCAAAGTGGAGGGATTATAGGTGTGAGCCACCGTGCATGGCCAGAAGGTTCACTCTTAAACCAGATCTCAACAACCTCAGCATACGATTCTTTTTTCTTTTCTTATTGGCATGAAAACTTTCACCTTTTTGTATAAAGGAAGGCCTTTGCGGCTTCTCCTTGGCATATCCAAATGGCTGGCATCCTTATGCTTGCTCTTTGGGGGCCATTATTAAATAAAATAAGGGTGACTTGAACACCAGTACTGTGATGCCATGACAATAGATCTGATCACTTGGGTGGCTACTAAATGACTAAGGGTGGGTGGCATCTGCAGCGTGGAGATGCTGGACAGAGGGAGGATTCCCATCCTGGGTGGGTCTGTGGGAGATTTCATCATACTATTCAGGACAGGCTATGATTAAAGCCTTAGGAATTATTTCTGGAATTTCCCATTTAATTTTTTCAGTCAGCCATGGGTAGCTCAACCTGTGGAAGGCGAAACCATGGATATGGGGGGATGACTGTATAGCATCGTGAGACTCCTTCAGTGGGCTGCCGCAGGGGATTTCACTCAATGTGCCCTTAGCCTTCCTTGTTCTCAAGCTCTCAACTAAGCTCACAGCTTTGACCTTCACCTTCGTGGGTCTGAGCACACACCTGCTTTCTCACTTGCCTCGTGCATCCCGTGTTTCCAGGGCTAAGTTCAGGAGGTATAGAGCAAACATGATCTTCCCTCCCACGTCTCTTTCTTTAATATTGTTTATTTTTAATAAAGGTGGAGAAACTTTTCTTCTTCGATAGACTATAATTTTAGGGTTACACAAATGCATGAGCCATTGAAAAAGGTTTTATTGGGCTTGGCTTCTGAAGAATATAAAATATTGAATTTTTCCATTAAAGAGAGAACGATCTTGATTCAATGAGTATCAAGTAATAAAATAATATTTTAGTTCCATCTTGGCCAGTGGTTACAAAAAGGTCAGGAAAAAGGAGGAGAAGAGAAATAGAAGGGGCCTCAAGGAATTAAGGAGACAGAGAGACAGCTGAAAGGGAAAAAAAGGAGAGAGGAAAAGGGAAAATGAGGTGATTTACCAAAGATAGTTAGATTTTATTTCCTCCTCTGCTTGTAGATATGGGGAACATGAAGCTCGTAGAAACTGAGTACTTTGGTCAGTGTCACAGAGATGGGGAGCTGGACCTGGGTTTTCCCCCTTATAACACATTAAGAAACCACTATTGGCTGAACTTGGTTGCTCATGCCTGTAATCCCAGAACTTTGGGAGGCCGAAGTGGGAGGATCACTTGAGGCCAGGAGTTCGATACCATTCTGGGCAACATAGAGAGACCCAGTCTCTCTCTCTCTCTCTTTTTTTTTTTGAGATGGTTGCTCTTGTTGCCCAGGCTGGAGACCAATGGTGCAACCTCGGCTCACTGCAACCTCTGCCTCCCAGGTTCAAGTGATTCTCCTGCCTCAGCCTCCTGAGTAGCTGGGATTATAGGCATGTACCCCCATGCCTGACTAGTTTTGTATTTTTAGTAGAGATGGGGTTTCTCCATGTTGGCCAGGCTGGTCTTGAACTCTTGACCTCAGGTGATCCACCCGCCTCAGCCTCCCAAAATGCTGGGATTACAAGTATGAGCCACTGCATCTGGCTGAGAGACCCAGTCCCTACCAAAAAAAAAAAAAAAAAAAAAAAAAAAAAAAAAAAAATTAGCCGGGCACCGTGGCATGTCCCTATACTCCTAGCTACTTGGGAAGTAGAGATGGGAAGATTGCTTGAGTTCAGAAGTTTGAGGCTGCAGTAAACTCTGATTGTTCCACTGTACTCCATCCAGCCTGGGCAACAGAGCAAGACTCCATCTCAAAAAAAAAAAAAAAAAAAAAAGAAAGAAAGAAAGAAACTGGTATTCAGAACTTTTCAAATCCTTGGGGGAAAAAAGCAACAAAAACTAAATACAACCACTACCAACAGTAAATAACAAAACTCTCTGCTAACCCTTGTCTAAGACTCCTGCTTGCTGGAAATGGTGCTGGGTGTTGTGATCCTGGGTGGAGAATGTCTCCTGTATCGCTGAAGCTGATGGCTTCCTGGTTTTGGCTTCCACTGAAAATGTTTTCTAACCCCATTGTTCTTTACCTGAGAGCTTTTTCCTTCTTCCCCCATTTATGTCTCAGTAAGGATTCGCAGATTCTTTTGTTATTCAGTGGGTTAGAATTCGTGGCTGTCCTGATGTATTTGGATGCTTCCATTATCACAGGCTTGTCTAGTGGGACTCGGTCAAGCTGGCTTCTCTGTTCTTTGGGTGCATCCTCTTGATTCCTTGAATGTTTCCATGATATCTCATGGCCCATCTTGTACTTTGTCTGCCCCAGCCTTAGAATCAGCAGTTTCTTCAAGGAGCCCTGGTTCCTTTTAGGGGAGAATGGTGTTGGAAACTAGAATCTAGGCACCAGCATGCTCTCAGCTCCTGGTGTGCCATTGCTTCTGGGGCCTCTCTGTGGATAGAGCTAGGGACTCTGTGTGTGTGTGTGTGTGTGTGTGTGTGTGTGTGTTTGCATGCACGTGTTAATTTTTCTCTCTTTCTCTAGCTCTGTCTATTCATATCTCTATGTCTGTCTATAGCTGTGTATGTTTTAAAGGTAAGTTTAAGGAAAATCCATGGAGGTAGGGGTCTGCTTAAACACAGATGTGTAATTCTGGGTATATGTCTCTTCTTTTCTCTTGTTCGCAGGTGGCTCAATCCCTTGTTTAAAATTGGCCATAAACGGAGATTAGAGGAAGATGATATGTATTCAGTGCTGCCGGAAGTCCGCTCCCAGCACCTTGGAGAGGAGTTGCAAGGGTGAGTGGGAGGCAAAGTGGGCGCCAAGGAAGCGTGAGAGTGTCTGTGTGTGGGGAGTGGGTTTTACCTTCCTGACTCCTGTCTGGAGCCCCCGTTTACCCTTAAGGTTAACAATGTCACCTTCCTGAGGCTGTCCGTGGGCTCAGCCTACTGTGGTGGCCTGGGGGACACTGCTATTTCCTGTGCCTCGGTAGAGGTGTGGGGAGCCAGTACCAAAGGCTGGAGATGGCTGAGGTCTGTCCCTGGAAGTGGAAATGGAATGACTGGGGGAGCCTGTCCAGCTTATCTGTGCTCCTCATGGGGCTTCATGCCAGCAAAGCTTGGCAGTAACTTGTTTCCCCAGACTTCCCCTCAAGGCCTGTTTTTCTGATGCTACAGATTCTGTACCACAGTCCCCTTCAGGAGCCTGGGAACAATTAGCAGCATTTATGAGATAGTCGCAAAATGCCCTGTCTTAAATGCCTACCTGTCACTCCGCCACCTCCCCTCTTTTACACTGTGGCAGGGTGCACTCTTATTGATGAAGCTTTTTCCTCATTGTAGGTTCTGGGATAAAGAAGTTTTAAGAGCTGAGAATGAAGCACAGAAGCCTTCTTTAACGCGAGCAATCATAAAGTGTTACTGGAAATCTTATTTAGTTTTGGGAATTTTTACATTAATTGAGGTAAAAGCTTTTACATACTGTGAATTGTTTTTCAGGACACATAGAGTAAACGTGCTCGCCATTGATTGGTGCCATAATGGATGGGGGAACAGAAGGGAGACGTGGCCAGATGGGGTTTGAAGGTATTTTAAGGTCTAAGGATTAAACATGTCTAGGAAGCATTAGGTAGTTAGTTCGGTGAGTATATTTATCCGGGTGAATACTTAAGTGACTGAAGCTCAAGGTCAATTGCTTTACGTGTAACCAATTAAAATACAGTGTCATGAAAGAAGAGCATTTTATCCTGTGGTAGGACAATATTGGTGCTCAGTAAATGTTCTTTTTTTTTTTTTTTTTTGAGACAGAGCCTCTTTCTGTCATCCAGGCGCAGGAACACAGTGGCATAATCCTGGCTCACTGCAACCTCTGCCTCCCAGGTTCAAGCGATTCTCCTACCTCAGCCTCCTGAGTAGCTGAGATTATAGGCACACGTCACCATGCCCGGCTAATTTTTCTATTTTTCTTTTTTTTTTTTTTTTTTTTTTTTGAGACAAAAGTCTTACTCAGTTGCCCAGGCTGGAGTGCAGTGGTGTGATCACCTCCAAGCAATTCTCCTGCCTCAGCCTCCCGAGTAGCTGGGACTACAGGCATGTGCCACCACACCAGGCTAATTTTTTTGTATTTTTAGTAGAGACAAGGTTTCACCATGCTTGGCCAGGCTGGTCTTGAACTCCTGACCACGTGATCCGCCTGTCTTGGCCTCCCAGAGTGCTGTGATTACAGGCATGAGCCACCACGCCTGGCCAAGTAAATGTTTTAAATGCTAAGAGTCACCCCTGGTCAGCTAGAGGGTCCTACAGCCTCAAGGAGTATGTATGTGCCTTGTGGTTTGGAGGAAGTGATTTTGGATCAGAGCCCAGAATAATGTAAGACATTTTACAGGTGTTCAACCAATCATTGTTCACCAAGCCAAATCTGATAAATGCTCTCCTGGGGAGGTATTGTCACCTCTCTCCTCTCAGAGAAATAGAACTGAGGGCCTTGCTGTTGGTGGTGCCCCAGAGGCTGGAGCTGGCTGAAGCCCCCAAAAGCTACCCCCTCCCAGGGGGCCCAGGTGCTGGGAGCCAAAACCCCCTCTGGGAAGAAGGTCCAACTACTGTGCACCCTAGGAAATTCACGCAGCCCCCATCCGGGGTGTCTTCCTTGTGGTTGGAGTGCATTGTTGGTTGGAAGGTAGAGTCTTGGTGCCTGGCCTTGCAGAGAGTGTATAAATGGACATTCCATGAAAAATCAAAGGGAGAGATCCAGGAGGGCCATGACCTCCGTTGCCGCCAATGGCCTCTGTCGAGATCCTGCAGCAAGCCAGTGTTCTGCCTGGGCACAGTGCCAGGTAGCCTGCCTTTTCTGGTCTGTGGCCTGCTAGAGGGGATGCAGAGGGTCCTGCTGGGTGACCTGTGCCCTCTGTGCCATGAGAGTAGCAGGGTTGGATGTTGCCATTGCTACAAAAGGGTGGCTTTAAATGCAGTGGTTATTCTGCAGGTCCTCCCCATCCTCCACAAAGGAGGAGTTGCCCTGGTGCATTTTTTGGGAGTGAGGTTGCTTTGTATGTGGGGGCTGTAGCTCCTGTTGAGTATGCCTTTTTTTTTTTCTTTTTTTTGTGGTGGAGCCTTGCTCTGTCACCCAGGCTTGAGTGCAGTGGTGTAATCTCAGCTCACTGCAACCTCTGCCTCCCGGGTTCAAGCGATTCTACTGCCTCAGCCTCTCTAGTAGTTGGGACTACAGGTGCACACTGCCACACCTGGCTAATTTTTTGTAGAGATGGGATTTCACCCTGTTCCCAGGCTGGTCTCAAATTCCTAAGCTCAGGCAATCTGCCCGCCTCAGCCTCCCAAAGTGCTAGGATTATAGGTGTGAGCCAACGTGCCGGCCTGAACGTGCTTTTTGTTACAGAGGGCACAGTGGGCAGTGGGAGGCAGGGAATTGAGTTCTGCCATACACCTGGGGAATCCGTCAGACAACAGAGAACTGGATGGTCCTGGGAGATGGATGGTCTCATTGGTGACAAAGGTGTGTTGACCAGGGTGCCAAATGGTGAATGCCACCTTTGAGAGGGTACCCGCCTGACCCTCCCCCCACTCCCCTGATGCTGCTGTGGCTTTGTGGAGGATGGGGAGGACCTGCAGAATAACTAGTGGAACTGAAGTGATGGGGGAAGAGGGTTTCAGAATTTCTCAGGTTCTCCCAGTCCATCTTTAACCTGTGTGGGGGTGTCCCAGTGATGATGTTTCCACATGGCCCCAATACATCTCAGTTGGAGAGAAATAGAATGACAAGTTGGTGTCAATGTGGCCAGTGTGTACAGGATCTCCTGACCCAGTTTGGCTGTACAACTTCAGAGAAGTTGTCTGGTAGCCATGGAGCCTCTGTAAGTGCCTAAGGCTCAGGCCAGGTGTCTGGTTAGGTGTGGTAGGAATGAGTGGCCGCACATAGATTTCAAGGCAGACCTCCTGCAGCTACTTCCATTTCTCTAGTTTCCCTGTGCTACCAGCTGCTTATGAAATTGAAAACAAGATGATTTAGAAGGAACTGAGCTTGTGGTGCTCAGGGCTGTCCGTGCTGTCATGGGCTGCCAGCCACTTGGGGTGGGTTCTCTAACCCACAGATGGTGATAGACTAGAATGAGATTTGATAAGCTTTTGGGAGAAGCAGGCACAGGAGTAGAGGCTGCGGCAACTCGAGTTTCTCCTGAGACTTGAGGACAGGCCCTGCTCTGGTGCTGGGAGCATGGGAATCCTTACTGCTGGTGGGCATATGGGGAGACGCCCGGATCGAGGGGAGCGTAATACAGGTACAGTTGGCGGAGTGCTGGTCTTTCTTTTAGGGGGATGGTTACTGGGGAGTCACGGCAGAAGAGCAGGGAGTGGAGGACCCGGCAGATATGGGAGCTCATGCTCAGTCCTAGCAGCAGTGCTGCAGAAGCAGCAGCAGGACCAGTAGTGGTTGGTACTCAGTAGTAGTAGCAGCAGCAGTGCTAGTAGCAGTAGTTATAGTAATAATGACAATGAGTGCTTGAAAAACACTATGTACCAGGACCTGCTATGCGTACTTTATGTGTATGTTACTTTTATTCTTTTGGTTGACTTAGTAAGGTAGAAGGTAGCCTTCTTTTTTTTTTTTGAAATAGGGTCTGACTCTGTTGCTCAGGCTGGGGTGCAGTGGTGTGATCTCAGCTCACTGCAGCCTTGGCCTCCTGGGCTCAAGCAATCCTCCTGAGTAGCTGGGACCACAGGTGTGTGCTACCATGCCTGGTTAATTTTTGTATTTTTTGTTTTGCTATGTTGCCCAGGTTGGCCTTGAACTCCTGGGCTCAAATCGTCCTCCCGCCTTGGCCTCTCAAAGTGCTGGGATACAGGCATGAATCACCATGCTCAGTCAGAAGGCATTCTTTTTACCCCTACTTTCGGGAAGAGGATACTGGGTGCCATGTAGTTATGTAATGTGCCCAGGGCTACACGAAGCATAAGTGACAAGGCCCAGATCCAGTCTCAGCCATGCTGACTTAGGGCCCTAACCATCTCCAGACTCTCAGAAAGGTGTCTTGAGAACTCTATATTCAGGTCTCTAGCACATGCTTCTTGAACTTGGCATAGGGATGAGTCAGATGCTAAGAGCTCCCCGGAGCAGTGGAGCATGGCTGTGGGAAATCGGATTGAGGATTATAAGTTACCCTAGATTCCTACGTCCCTTCGGTCTGGAAAGTCAGGTGATGTTCTAGAGAGTGGCTGGGGTGCTGGCCAGGTCAGAGCACCAAGGTACCTTCAGGTTGACCAGGAACCCTTTTTTTAAAAAAATTTTTTTTTGTTTGAGGAGGGATCTCACTCCGTCACTCAGGCTGGAGTCCAGTGGTGTGATCTCAGCTCGCTGCAACCTCCATCTCCCTGGGCTCAATCAATCCTCCCACCTCAGCCTCCTGAGTAGCTGTGACTATAGGCATGTACCACGCCTGGCTTATTTTTTGTATTTTTAGTAGAGATGACATTTTACCACATTGCCCAGGCTGGTCTAGAACTCCTGAGCTCAAGCCATCGGCACACCTTGCTCTCCCAAAGTGCTGGGATTACAGGCGTGAGCCACTGTGTCTGGCTGACCAAGAATCCTTTAGAAAACTGTCTCCCACGCCTCGTACCATCCTCCAAATGTACGAGGCATGGCAGCCCTGCTGACCCAAGCTCCACGTCCATGCTGTGAAGACACCATTCCCAGTTGTCTCCTCCTCGGACAGATGAGGGGGAAGCTTGTGGTCTTGCATGGTCATGACACTGACTGATAGTCTGGGGAGACATCAGGTTCCCTGAAAGGCACCTGGTTTCCTGCAGAGCAATGGTATCTCTGCCATTTTAGAAGCCTTTGGCTTGAATCGTGAAGTGGGTATATAGTTAAGTTAGCTTGGAAGGATGAGGACCCCAGATCAGTCACTAGTATGGGAACAGCTCTTCTGTCCTGGTATCTGGATCCTCCCACTAGCAAGGTGGGCCCCAGGTATTAGGGCGGCAGGCCAAGGTATTAAGATGGACCCATACAGTGCTGGTGGCAGGCACCTCTGATAGAAAGTGGAGTCTGGCTTTTCGCAAGAGAGCACTTGTTGGTCCTGTGTTTATATCAATATCTTGGTGGCTTACGGTGTAAAATTAGACAGTAGTCAGTTATTCTTTAGATGAGCTTGGTGACTAGTGGATGATGCTCTTTTTTTTCTTTCTTTTTTTGAGACACAGTCTTGCTCTTGTTGCCCAGGCTGGAGTACAATGGTGCGATCTCAGCTTACTGCAACCTCTGCCTCCCAGGTTCAAGCAATTCTCCTGCCTCAGTCTCCCAAGAAGCTGGGATTACAGGTGCATGCCACCCCCTGGCTAATTTTTGTATTTTTGGTAGAGATGGGGTTTCACCATGTTGGCCAGGCTGGTCTCAAACTTCTGACCTCTGGTGATCCACCCACCTTGGCCTCCCAAAGTACTGGGATTACA